TTAATTCTACAGAATTTTAGAACACGATTAGCAATATTTAAAATACGTTACGATGAAGTTTTAAATTATATCAATTAACTCGCTTCTTGGTTGTCATTCTTAAACAGAGATTATTCGAGAAATTACCTCAACTGAAATTCCAGTTGATTTTTGAGACAGTAGTGCGAATGTAAGCTCAAAGATGGCGCAACCACCTTCCGGTATTGAAATACTATTTCTAAAATAAGATGGCGAACGATCTATCATTATATAAATAGAGGAAATGAGAATGTCGTTCATGTTTTGTATTTATATTTGTTTGTTTATTGTTACGGTCAAAATCACACAGTGGGCTACCCCTCCTCCTTCCATTATCAGCGTTATAAAGCCTCAGTCTTACCACTGAAATACCAGGAGGGGGAGAAATTTTATTTTATTTTGCCTAAGCCTAACTCGTTAATACAGCGCATACAACATTAAAAACGCATCTCAAGATTAAAATCCTACTTAGGTGTACGAGCTTATTTCAGTAAATTATTTTGATATTTATGTCAAACAAGAAAAGTTTGATTGTTTTGTGAACACTAGAGGTCGCTCTCCTGTTACAGTACATCGTACACTCTGCACAGTAAACATTTTACCATATCTCTCAATAGATGGAGACACTAAATGTATCTTAGTGTGTAATAGAATTTTCATACGCAATGATATAAGCTACTTATATTTGGTTTGAATAAAGCGATTTTAATATTTTTCTGTGTGAACAATTATATATATATTAATCCTTATATTGATGTTTTATAAGTCGTAAAATAAAATAAGTAATCTCTCATTTTACAGAAACAGAAGTTTGAAACTAACGGACAAAGATTATCTAAATCAATTCTATCCTAGTTAGTTGACATATTGTGTGAGAATTCCACGAACTTAAATTATTTATCTATTGAAATAATAATAATAATAAACAGAAATAATTTTTGTTTTGATAATTATCTCGAATCTAATAAAAATACCTTATCGACAAACTTACAAATCAGTGTAAGTGTTAATGTATTTGTTGTATAGAGCATAGAGCAGTGGTTCTCAAACTGTGGGGCATCCCACTGGAGGGCGCGATTGTTTTTTTAGAGGTGAGTCATCAATGGCGGTATATATATGGGGTGGTGGTGGCAAGGTGTATCACAGAGAATAAAAGGGGAGAACGACCTCAAAAATTTGAAAAACTTTGGTATGTTGGAATACCACAGAGCGTTGGTACAACAAAGAGCGGGAAAAATTTTGGTATTTTTAACACCTCATGCGACTTATTGGCTTAGACGGCCAGCTCAGAGACTCCTGAGGCTTATGGCTTACACTTCATATAGAATTATTTTATCCAGGAAAACAACCAATCAGAAGCACCCGTTACCTACACAGCTATTGACAAATGGCTAGTGTAATTGTCGTTGTAATTTTCTTTATTTTTTTTTGGAACAAACCCTCGCAAAGGACTATGTGAGCTGTGTGAACGGCGGAAAATCGAACCTCGGATTTAGCATTGTAAGTGAGGAAACTTACTACTGACCCACCTGGGAATTCATCGTTTCTAACAAAGCGGAAAGTATATTAAAATGTAGATATATCTATTCCAGAAACTGCTTTGGGTTCTGATACCTAATTTACTATATCTATTCCTAAAAACTGACATGTAAAATTGAAATGCAAGCTAGTTAACTAGGTTCCGATATATCTGAAATAATTCTGAGAATAAACGTGATTTAACATTTATAATATTGCCGAAGTAAAGTTTTATGACAAATAAAATTACAAACGTGTAATTTGTTTCGGTTTCTTTTTAAGTTAATTAAACTAGGTACATTTTAGGTAGATAGAACACACGAGCCCCTTTATAGGACAGTGGTGAGTTTACGGACTTACAACACTAAAAATCCGAGATTCAATTCCTCGTGGCGGACAGAACGTAGATACTCTGCTGTAAAGCATAGAAATAGTTGTTAGTTGCAGATGCCAAAAGATATTAGGCTTAGTATTCCAACCACTACTGTGTTTGTTGTATCATAGCCAGCTTGATGAGCTCTGGTTTTAGCGAAACGCGTCGTCGACAATGGATATTACGAATATAGAGTGGTTGGAATACTATTATAATACACTCTAATTTTTGAAAATCTCTAACGGACTAGATAATGAATACAGTGTCCAGAAATATATTGTGACTAGTGGAATTAATTATAATCATGCTTCACCACCGCCATCTTATTTTAGAAATAGTATTTCAATACCGGAAGGTGGTTGCGCCATCTTTGAGCTTACATTCGCACTACTGAGATTCTTAAACCTTTATAAAGGCATTCAAATAAAAAAATATTTTATTTTTGCTAATTTAGGTTTAGGTTTTGTTTTTTATTAAAATAAATAAAAATCTCTGTCTATCATAATATGACTTTTGGTTAGCGATTTAATTTTTATCACATTTGTTCATAAATAAATCATTTTTGTTTCTATATTATGTGGTAAATCCTAACAGCCAGAACTCGTAACACGCCCCCCATCGTTGCCGACGCGACCGAATAAACGTTACATAACGCGTGTTTAGGCCTTTATACGGTTACCCGAATAAAATATTCTAAAGGTTATCAATTTCCTCATCAATTTCGATTATGAATGGCGCGTGACTTTAATGACCTACCACTCCACGAGTAACGAGGCGCTTTCGACACGTACCTCATCTGTGAAATTCATTTTGCTCCCACAAGACGCTAGTTCACGGTCTCGCGCCAACGTGCAAACAATGATCCTTTCATCCTTTTTGTAAACACACACACACATTGAATTGTTTGATCACGTGCTATATGGGAGGTGCTGCACGTGCGAGGAAAAAAAAATCATAAACCAACTGATTTGTGATTAAGAGAGTACCCTGGACCAACATCGTTAACAGGACATCAGTTTGTTAAACCTTATTTTGTTTTCAAGTTTCAGCGATTCTAAATGTTCGTATTTTAAAATAACGGGTTGTTTTTTGGTGACGTTACTTGTGACGTGTCATATATACTTTCAGGTATATTATTGCCCTTCTTACTTCAACCTTCGTTTAGCCATTTCATTCGACAGTTACTTGAAAGAAACCTAATTGTTTGAGCAATATAAATGTATATTTTTCAAATTTCGATTCTTTTATTTATTGAAAGAGAAAAAAACAACAACAACAACAACAGTGTTTTAGAGCCTGGCATGGCCCGGTGGTTATGGCTCTCGACTCGCATTCTGCGGGTTCGAACCCCCTAACCAAACATGCTCGTCCTTCCAACCGTGGGGGCGTTATTATGTAACGGTCAATCCCACTTTTTGTTGGTAAAGAGTAGCCCATGAGGTGGCGGCGAGTGGTGTTGACTAGCTGCCTTCCTTCCCCCCTAGTCTGTCACTTCTAAATTAGAGGCGGCTAGCACAGATAGCTCTCTTGTTTAGTTTGATTTCATTCGGATATTCGCAAAAACTGCACAAGGGCTACGTACGTTAGACATCCCTAAACTTGAACTGATACACTAGATGGAAGGAAGCTAGTCGACAACGCCCACCGCTACCTGTTGTGCTGCTCTAATCGAATAATAGGATTTAAGTGTCAATCTTATAGAGCACTCGCAACTTCAAAATGTAGGTTATGATTTTTTTTTTTCATTTGCGGCAACAAAACACGAACAATGGACCTTAGGCTGGCACGCTAACTTCTAGAACTTCCTTTTTTTTTCATTTGCGCAACTAAACACGAACAGTGGACCTTAGGCTGGCACGCTAACTTCTAGAACGCGCTCGGCTCACTTGGAGATTAAGACGGACTGTTGGACAAGAACAGTCATTTTTATTATCATATTTTATTCGAAGTTCAAACACTTATTTATCCTGTTCCAATGAAGACTTTTCCAACTAAAACAAAGTTAGAAATATAACATTAATAATAAAAACACTCTAAGAAACGAAACATTGTTGTAGTGTTTCAGCCTCGTTCAGAACATTTCAATCAAGAAAATGTTATAAAAAAATAACATTAATAATAAAAACACTCCAAGAATCGAAACATTGCTGTAGTGTTTTAGCCTCGTTCAAAACATTTCAATCAAGAAAATGTTATAAAAAAATAACATTAATAATAAAAACACTCTAAGAATCGAAACATTGTTGTAGTGTTTTAGCCTCGTTCAGAACATTTCAATCAAGAAAATGTTATCAAAAAATAACATTAATAATAAAAACACTCCAAGAATCGAAACATTGTTGTAGTGTTTTAGCCTCGTTCAGAACATTTCAATCAAGAAAATGTTGCTCTTTAAAAATATTTCCTGCGAGCTCGTAATGCTAAAATTCGGGGCTCAATCCTCGCGATAGGAACAGCACAATATCTCATTTTACACGTTTTAAAAACAAACGTAATATAAAACTGAACATCCAACAAAACTCAAACTATTTTTGTCAAACCTATTGCTGTTTATTACGGGGAGTAGCCCCCCACTTGTTGTTCTAAATCACTTATAGAACTCGTATATTATACTCATTATTATTTTAAGCTTTTCTTTTTTTGAAAAGATTCAAATCGTCAGTAACTAGAATCATGTAAAGCCACATCAAGGACCCAGCAAAAGAGAAAAAAAGCAAAGATACTGGTATTTTTAAACTTCAGCCTTAGTTCATAAAACGAACAATTTATTCTTTGGTCGAGATGCTTTTGCGTTAAACTTCAAATTACCTTTCATTACAGGTGAGCTCCATATATTACAGCTTGTGGACGTTTTATGGTTTTGTCTGTTACTGCACTCAGTGTAAAGGTCTGGCAAAAAAGAAAAAAAAAAGTCGCTTATTTTCCCAAGTCAAATGCATAAGTGGCTCCATCTGGGATTAGTGAGATTAACTTTTTTTTTTTCAGTGAATCATTCCATAGAAATATTAATAATCTTTCGTTCAACATTTTTATGTCAGCACAGAGGTCGTCAAGTTTCGTCTCTTCATTAATATTTGATAAGACTACTTGGGAAATGTTAATATCGATTTTATTAATGTGAAACACGAAAAACCAAAATACAGTATAGGTTATAACTACATTACAATTATATATATATATCTAAACAACATTCTAATCTGATCTATTGTTTACACTGTGCTCACGGACTATGTACAGATAACGATGACACCACACCAGATTTTGTTTACGTTCTCAAACTTGCTACAAAATAATGCATTTTACACCAACACCAGCAAAAACTAATACACATCGTCAAGATCGCAACAGTCTGGTTAATATCCAGTCTTTACATCCGATTCCCAACTTCCGGTGTTCCGATTCCTTTCATACATATGTAAAGACAGCCAGTATTAGGCCCTGTGCAAACTTATAACCTCCCTCTCTTCCCTCCTCTTTAGGCATAGTAACTTCCCAATCCATTCCCTCGATGACCAGGGTGTGGGATTGCATGACCTGGTATGTATGGGTTAAGGTTACAAGCTCCAGATGCGCCAGTTGACCAGTAATGACCAGGAACTGTTGTTGACCCAAACAGTGGTGGCTGGGAGTTACCGGTTAGTCCTGTAGGCCTAGCACTCAAATAGTTCATTTTAGAGGTGTGGACGTGGTATGTTGGAAAGAATAGGTCAGACTGGAACTTGTAGGCGGCGGTTTCTCCTGTATTAGGTTGGCAAGCCTGGGCCAAGCCATGGAAATCAAACTTGTACGTGTATCGCTTGCCATGTACTTTAGTCATTATATTTTTGTCGTAGTAGTATCGCAGGGCTCGACTGAGTTTGTCGTAATTCATGTTAGGCTTCGACTTGCGCTCCCCCCAGCGGCGAGCAACTTCATCAGGATCTGTCAGTTTGAACTCTCCGTTAGTTCCTTCCCAAGAGATACAATTCGTGTTGTTGGTGTCGGAAAGAAGTTCCAACAGAAACTGCCACAGCTGAATCTGCCCGCTCCCTGTCGATAAAAAAAAAGGGGTTTTTTAAAGAGACACCTAGAAAATAAAACAAAACATAATAATATTAGGCTTAACATTTATGATAAAAAAAAAAAAAACGTGCAAATCGCGCATTTGATTCTCCGTAATCTAGCCATTCCGGATTTCAGTTCAGAGATGCGTAAGAATAGCGTTTCAGAATTATCTTTTGATCCCTGTAAGAAGGCCTTTTGTTAATACCAGAACTAACCAAGGCCTTTCGTTAATACCAGAACTAACCAAGGCCTTTCGTTAATATCAGAACTAACCAAGGCCTTTCGTTAATACCAGAACTAACCAAGACCTTTCGTTAGTACCAGAACTAACCAAGGCCTTTCGTTAATTCCAGAACTAACCAAGGCCTTTCGTTAGTACCAGAACTACTCAGTTTTTTGTTGCATAACTTTGGTTTCGAATTCGAAATGATCTAATTAAAGGAAATGTGAAAAGAATAATGTGCAATTTACATCGTAATTTTCATTCCACTGTTTTATGTCTTGTAATGTTGTGCCAGCTTTCGACATTTAAACATGCATTTTTGCTGACACTTTTATTTAAAATAACTTGTTGCCATGATTTCTGTCTGTGCGTATTCAAAGTTTCTTTGAATGGAAAACCTAAGTTTGATCTAAGACAAGAACTAAGATCTACAAAAAAAAAGAAAGTTAACTGTCTGTGTCCCTTTATATTCGATTTTGACTAAGAAATAAAAAAAAATTAAATCTTTAGAAAATCGAATTAAGATAAGGAAAAAAACCCAAATCTTTATAAAGTGTAACTGATAAATGGAAAACATATGAATCTTTAGAAAATCAAACTAAGCAATGGAAAATATATAAACTTTTAAAAAAATCTAAATGTTTAGAAAATCTAATTAAGATGCAGAAAAATCTAACTGAGACATGGAAAAAAGTTAAATCTTTAAAACATCTAAGATATGGTGTATTTGTTTGTTTGTCTGTCTTAGAACGAAGCCATATTGGGCTATCTACTGTGTTTACTGCAGGGAATCTAACTCCAGATTTTAGCGTTGTAAGTTCGTAAACTTACAACTGGGGGACCTATTACATGGGAAAAATTGAAATGTAAAAAAAATTGAATATTAAAAAACATACTAAGATATGGAAAATATCTAACTAACACGTGGAACATATCTAAATCTTTCATATTAGAGTATTACTCTGTTGATTTATATCTAACTAACACGTGGAACATATCTAAATCTTTCATATTAGAGTATTACTCTGTTGATTTATATCTAACTAACACGTGGAACATATCTAAATCTTTCATATTAGAGTATTACTCTGTTGATTTAGAATCAGCTAGAAAAATCACGAGAAAAACAAAACAATAAAATTACAACCTGATCTTTTGAGAATATTTTATTTATTTTATACATTCTTAAACAAAGCTTAAAAAAACGCCTGTTTGTAGACTAACGTGTTCATTGCATAAAAATCGTCAGATTCACATTTTAATTCATCTTGTAAGTGTTCCTGTAAGTGTTATGGGTCATCTTAAATCCCAAGTTACTTTAACAACTCGTTTTTATACTGCTAACTGTCAGTTGAGGTCAAATTATTGCACCATATTGAATAACTTTTATGTTTTTTGCCGATTGCAATCTCGGTGTAAAGTACTGATCAAAGCAACCAGATCAAATCACTCATGTAAAATAAACAGTAGATCCGATCATTAGGAGAGTTAGCTACAATATTTCCAGCATTTTTGTATGTGGTTAGAGATAGTCAACTAAGTCATGAACACAAAATTTGGTGCATAAATAGCTTTGAATTATACGGTAATTTTATGATGAAGAAAATGCTACGCACGTGACATTCAAATGGATGGAGATTAAGGCTGATGTATAAGTTCCATCTACAAGTACAATGAGAACGAGATTACCTTTAAAAAAAGGCATTGTTTAAATATGCTTTACTAATGCAACATGAGAACACTCCAGGTGGCTTATGCATGTCTAATGGAAGTCAAATGATTTGTCAATAAGCACTTCAGACCTAAGGAGATGGAGTAGCGGGATTGGTTTGTATAATGACTACACTGTAGGGGGCGCTTGTTTGTTTCCGCGCCGCCCAATCCGAACCATTATGCGCGATGGTGATGTTCAGTCACCTGG